CTTATGCCAAATATAATGAATAAAATTGGCCAAAGTTTGGAACGTCAAACATGTTTTTCAAACGAAAAAAATGTCTAATATTAAGATACTACCAACGTCTCAAGCCCAAAAACTGGCTGACGTAGTGTCATGTGACAGTTGCGTTTAATATATTCGCGGCCACGTGCTCAAAAATCTGTTTAGTGGACAATCATGACATGGTTTCGTGAGAAAATCTTCAATCTTCTCAAATCTAACCAAAACAAACCAGTTTTTGTTTACCGTGACACTGAAACACTCAGTTCCGTGGATATCAACAACGCATGAGCCAGATAAGCTATGATTTTCGAATACCAAGTAGTGAGACATGTAACCATGCCTGCTTAGACCATTATGAATAAACTCATAGTGTAGGAGGTCACACCTTAAAGGGAAACGCGCCGCCGGCGATGACACACTTCGGAAATATGCTCTCGTACCAGGAGGCTGATTGTTGCCAGGGTACGACGCAAGTGGCAAGGTGAGAAGCCAGGCTACTCATAAGGACGGAGGCATAACATTGAGCCCTAAGAATATTTTTCCGTGGGTACGGAATGTGGCCTATATTCAAACAAAAGATTGTCGTTCATGGGGTAGCCCATGTATCTGTTGGGACTTATTAATGGGAAATCGGTGAACGAAACTGTGGCAGCTACAACCACTATACGGTAAGCACGCGGATCTTACAGCTGACAATGATGATGATGACGATGGATCTATGGCAGGTGTTATGCTGAGAAATATACTTAAAACTTCTGAGCTTTACTGTGCCCATCGATATATTACCCTGCATGTATTGTCAGAACTGCCTAAAACGAAAAAATAAGACTTTAGTATGTTGGTATTGTGAGGGGATTTGAGACTTCGTCCTGTAAGTGAAGCCAATCTATGCTGAAAAGCCGAGAATCACTGTACAGGTGTATCATCCTTAATAGGAACCATCAGTAGTGCGCATCTCGCTCCACTTACAGGACGAAATCTGAACAAAAATCCCAAATCTCCTCACACTACCAACAATCTATAGGTAGTTCAGTGGAAGAATGAACTTCACCCGATGAGTGAAGCTTCCACCTGAGAAGTCAGTGCTTGAGGAGCCAGTCAACACGTCTGACCGCGTGATGTGAATCCCGTGATTGAAAGATAGGCGGCGCTATATCCTGTCTAAGTGCTGGTCAGCCGCCCGTGGCCAAACGGTTAAATGTTCAAACTACTAGCCGGGAGGTCACGGGTTCGATACTATCCGGACTTACGTAAAATGCGCGCTGCTGATGATTCCCAATAAGGATGAAACAGTTGTACAGTGTTTCTCGGCTTTTCAGCATAGATTGGCTTCACTTACAGAACGAAATCTTCACTTTATTATGCGCGTGCCTAATTTGCTTACCAAGCAATACTACCGAAAGACCGTTAGTTTGAATTCACTAAATTTTACGCTCCCAGTCGATGCTCAACTGCAATCCAATAAACTGCTGACTTAATGCGCTTTCATATTGAGTTCTTGAGTACGATAGAACAAGTTGCAAAGATCCATTTCTGCTCGTACTACGAATAATTTGACGAAACACGCCTACAGACAGACCATATTCTTGAAAAAAAAAAGAATTTTTTGCGTAGTGCTACACGCGTGTAGTTTGTCAGACAAGACGTGGGTTGGAAAGCTAGACAGCACGTTTTTATTTTCTACATGAGGATTCTGATCGCAATGAAATCACGTCACTGGTCGGTATAACGATTGGTCACAACTTGGGTAATTAAATGCGTTAACAGCGTATCCCGTGTATTCACATATATAGCAATGTCGAAAAGGGATACACAGGTAAGTATACTCTACTATTTCTATAGGATCCAAACAGGCCACAAGAAGACTCTTGCGCTGAAGACAATAGCACTCGTGTTGAACACTCGCGTGCTGTGAAGTTGTAAACAGGAATAGTTTTCAGGCCCCCATCACTCCATCACTATGCAATCATCACAGAAACTAACAGTAACAACACAGCGGAATCGAGGCCATAGACGGTAGCATAATTCTGGAGAGGGACGAGAGACTCTTTGCGGTACCATTGCCTGAGTCGTTACGGCTCTTTCCCAGTGCCAATAAAGAACACAAGCAATCAAGGTAGTGGATATAACACCAACCAGCCTTGATATGGTGTGCGAGCAAAGTGACACGGACAACACTGGTTTACACGTCGTTCCACACAGTTCAGTCGTATCAGGAAGGCTAAAACGGACGTGGTGGTAAAGCCCTAATGAGGTGAGCATTGAGGCTGTAAGTAGCTCCAAAAAGGA